CTTTCTAGTGTCTTAACCTTGGATTTCTTTTCCTGCTGTCAGTTCTTTTTTTCCTTTATTTTGTTGTTTCTTTCTGTTTTCCTTTTATCCTTGTTGTTTCTATTGTAGTTGTTTTCTGTTGGTTAATGGAAATGCTTTTCAAATATATATCCATCACGTTAAAAAGTTCAAACTTCAAACCTGAATTTAGGGAAAAAGATAAAATAAATCAGACTGTGTAGAAGGTTAGCTCAAAAGGCACCTAATATAAATCTCAAGTTTAAGAAGGACGACTGCACATTCATGTCCTGAATAGAAACCATTGCGTGAAATTTGTGGATCCTAACCAGTCCATATACTCTTTTAGACTTAGGCCATAGGTCTTAGGTGAGGTTTCAAGAACTATTATTGTCAAGTTGAGATTTGAAAAACCACAACTGCCATTGATAGAGTAGCACTAGCATTAGGTGGGGAGGTCTATGAAAAGAAGACGTCGGAGTCGGAGAGGAGAGAGCCCCCTTTCTGGGTGATACACATTTTCAACATTAAGATTTCCATGTTGGACCCAATCAAAGTCTTCCTACCTAATCTAAGCACATGGGCTTTCTGGTATAGAATTGAAGTGGCCAAAAGAATTGCGAATAAAAGAAATGCAAATGCTAATATATACATTAAGGGTATGTTTCATTTGGAAATTGAAATCTATCAGAATCGGAATCAGAATGGTTTATTCATCCAGTCTGTTTGATTCAAATTAGAATCGGAATCAGTTGGAATGGATTCTCATTCCCTCAAATGGAGGAATGTCATTTCACCATGAGTGAAAATGGGATTCCGATTTCATCTAACCAAACAATTGAAATTCCGGTTTCAATTCCAGACTTTTATTCTTGTAAACCAAACGGACCCTAAAACCCTAATTTGAACCCAAACCTAGCTTAGCAAACACTGCATTAGTGCTTTTCTCTACATCCACTCCATGTCTAACTATGAGATGAGGGCTATGCCTGTTCTATCTTGCATCCTTCGCAAGTTTCTTTGATTCTGAATGATTTGAATTTTGAAGCTAGCCAAGTATTAATGTGTGTGTGTGAGAGAGAGAGAGAGGTAGGTTTATGGCTTGGACAACTATGCATTTTCTTCTAGTAGAAACATGCTAGAGCCTAGAGTGCATCTGGATTGATTTCTCTCTCCCTCTAGAATTTAAACAAATATCCAATACGGATTAGGTAGGTACACATGCACACTGATTAAGTACTTAGAAAATTTTTTAACACCCGTCCTTTAAAATACCCCCAATCTACTCTTGAAAAAAAAAAACAAATTTTACAATTGTCAGAACATTTATTTAGTGCTCATTGAACATGCTGTGCCTGACTCCAACTTATGGTTGAACTGAGTTGAGACCTCTTTCCAATAAAAAACCATCCCAACACTCTTTCAACATGATCTGTATACACAAATCTCACCATAAAACTGGAACCCACCATTTATGAGATGTCTAGACACAAATGATGTTAAAATGTGTTGGATTGCATTTTTATTGGGAGGAGATCCGGACTCAGTTTAACCACTGACCAGTCGATCAATCTCCTAACCAAGTTTCTAGGTCCATTTTAGTTCCCTGGACTATTTATTTGCATAAAGAATTAACTTGGTCAATTACCTGACTACCCAATTTGTATTAAACTGTTTAACCCAGTTAGTGACTCATATGTTAGATATTAATCTTGTTTTTGTGTTTTTTAGCTATTTCGTGATTAATAAGTTCATGACAATTAAATTCTCATCTATCACTTTTATTTCCTTGCAACCCCACGATGAAACATGAACACACTAATGATAGAAGAAAAGAAACAACTTATGATTTTTTAAATTTATTTCCCTAACTGGTGTATATAGGGGTGTCAATTGGACTGGATTTGGTCCAATTTGGTCCAGTCTAATGTGAGTCCATTACAAATGGACCTGATCCAATCCAGTCCAATGAATATTTTGGACTATTTTGTACTGGTCCAAAGATTGTTTAATCTGTTCAAATTCCAGTTAATTTAGATTGGTTTCAACTCAAACCTGGTCCATTGACACCTACATTGACACCTATATTCTTATTTTTTATAAATGAACTAGATATTGACTCAATCTAATATAAATTCATTATGGATGGACCAGGTCCAATCCAATATATCATATTRGTCCATCCAGTCCGTCCAAATTCAATATGTCTTATTGGTCCGTTCAAATGGATTTTGATTTGAACGGAGTCCAACCCAAAACCGATCCATTGACAACCCTAAGTGTATATATGTTAAAGTGGGGCTCAGAAGGGGGAGGCAAATAGGAGTGATCATGGGCTGGGCCCGGCTTTGCACCTAAGATTAGGACTATATCCTTGGCCTGGGGGTGGCCTGGCCCAGGTTACAGGCCTGAAACATAAGCCCAGGTTGTGCCTGATTGCAGGCCTACAGTTATTATGAATAAAATATTAAATATATATCATTTATACATTAGATAGTATATGTAATATATATAATTAGGGTTGGGGTCGGGTGTGGACTTCACTTCCGATCCCCAATCAGGTATACCTATTAATTCCATCCCCATCCTATTCCTGCTAAGGCAATTTCCATCCCATTCTCGCTTGATCAGGGAGATTGGGTACTTGGCAGGGATGAAAAAATTGTCATCCTTACCCTCGGATTATATAGTTCCATAGAACAATCAATTTTAAGTCCAATTTTGTGCATCACTCAGGAGCCTGCTAGTGTGTATGTATGTATATATATATGGCTCAAGCCCGGACCTGAAAGCCAAAGCCCAAGTTATGTCTAAATACAAAACTAGACCAAGCCCAGGCTGCGCTGAAAATGGTCGCCCCTGTATCAAATATGACATCCCTTATAAGTGTCCCCTTACACATTTCATGGAAATGGGACACCTTTTACAAACAAAATGGAAGTGTAAAAGGTCCAAACCCAATAAAACTTTCGACTGTCCACATTAGATATCGTGGATTGTCTTTTTTCTTTTTTTTCTTTTCAAAGGTAGGCTCTTCCCTATGAACAGGAAAACTTTGGCTGTTCAGGAAAACAACATACCGTTTGGGTCGAGTGTAGAATCAGTCCTGAATCGATTATTAATCAGGACACATTCACAATTTTGCAGAACCAGAACCGTTCCCGTTAATAGTTGGGTCTATTAGGTTCAGACCGCAATTATACCAAAGCTATATTTATTTATTTAAATAATAATTTAAATTTTAAAATTGATAATATAACATTAATAAAAATGATAGAAAATACTAAATTATTTATATGTTAATAAATTAATCATTTTTAATTAATATTATCTTATTTATTATCTATCAAATTAATCATTTCAAACATAAAATATATAAAAAAAATTAAAAATTATTATATATTTAATAAAATATTCAGTTTCAGGTCTGAGTCAGTCTGGGACAAACAAGATTTGGAACTGACCCAATTATTAATCAATACAAAATCATAGGACCAGAACTATTATAATCCGTTCGATCAGGACAAGCCTGTCAGGTAGACTCCACCCATTGACAGCCCTACAGACATCTATTAAAAAACGTTAGTGCCAGCTTTTTGCAAGCAGCTCCAACAACTCTCTTTCAATCCTCCTTCCAACCCCCATTCCATGAGTTGGGATCTCCTACCAACAAAATACATTCTAACACCCTACCAACATGAAACTAAGACTAGCCATATGAGATGTACATTGTGGGAACATGTTAGTAAGGAATGGGAATTTGCTTCTCACACCAACTTCACAATACATCCCACTATGTATAGGGAGCATCTCCCAATGAATAACAAGATACAAGTATGGGAGTCTCGATGTGCAGATGAAATTTGTTGTGGGGTTGGTTTGAGGAGCAGATCCGAAATTATTGGTAGGGTCTTGGAGTCCGCCTTGTGACTACTCGGGATCTGCTACCCACAAGCACCACTACCATGTATAGAGAACATCTCCCCATGAATGACAAGGGAGATATTCCCAATGCACAATTGTCATGTCCCATGGGTAGAGATGTGAGAACATCTCGTGGGTAGCAGATCTGAGCTACCTTGTGACTGATGAGTCCGGATGTCTTGCCCACGAGAATTCTGCCCATATTTATCGCAGCCACACATGGAGAACATCTCATCCTCTACATAGTATTATGCAGGGGGGATATTCCCAATTCATGAGGGGTAGTGTATTGTGGGCAGAAGATCCGGAGTCGTGACTGACTTTCAATGCTGGTCCATAGGCAAGACCAATAGTCTTTGTCAAGACCACATTGGCACCCCACATGCACATCTCACTGTGCATTGGGAACTATCTCCCATACTTATCATTGGGAGATGTTGGGTGCTGTGGGGGGGTCCACAAGCGCCCTGTGTGGGACGCCGATGTGATCTAGTCTTCATCGGCATCGTGGGACCCACATCACACCAGAGAGAACCACTCCCCTTTTCCTATGAGCTATGACTTCTGAAAAGTTAGGGTAATGGGAAAAAAAAAAGTGAAAGGGGGGCCTTCTTTTAATTAAAAAGAGGGACATATAAGAACTTGGTAGGGTAATGTAAGCATGTGCGGTTCAAAACAGCCAAGCTTTTCGAGAGAGAGAGATGTTGAAACTCCAAACTGTCAAATTTAGACAGCCAAACTTTTTCCTTCAGACGTTATTAATATGGAGAACTAATGGATATGGCTAGTGACTTTCCATTATTGGTCAACAACTTCCGGTAAAATTATCCATGCATAATTTTATTTTGCCTGAGTTAAAGAATTTTTGTATGTGATGATTGAAATCAATAAATTTTTTAATGGAATTCCAATTTCCAAGGCTAGGCAATATAAACAAAGAAACATACGGCACTATATCCTGTTTATTTTGCTTTGATTTTTGTCTGTACTCCTTCCAAACCGAGCCTTAATTAATATTCTCAACCTCTGTTTTTAATTAAACTATTTGATTTATCATTTATATGAAGAGGATTAACATATATAAAAATATAATTATAATACTAAGCATTATTTGAAATCTGTTGTAAGTTACATTAATAATTCATAAAGAATGAAATTTCTCTTTCGGAGAGAATTTTATTTATGTTACAGGTCAATACTACTCGACGCACCATGAAAATAGGCCGCAGAAGTTCTTTTCTAATTGCTTCTGTGGTGAGACTTCTCACTTATTGTAATTGGCTGAATTTCCACGCTACGTTAGAGCAATTCAAAGGCCGGAAGTGAAAGGAACGTTGGTGGCTGGTAGCCATGCACCGCCAACGATGAAGCTTCCTACGGTGAACTTGGATGCTTCGGTTACACTGGTGATGACATGATAGCCACCCCATTTCACTCGGTTCGCCGTCGACGAACCGGGCCCTGTGTTCTGATATTCTCCATAGTACAATGTACTGAGAGCAAAGCTTCCACTCCACGGCAACCAACCGGCCGGCTGAATCAAGCTATCGAGGAACGTCTTGAGGACGACGGTTCGAGAATATTGCCTCCATGGCCTTCCAAGGTATGTCTTGACGGAGCTCTGAACTGGCTTTAGGTCCGAAGCGGCTGTTATTCTAGAGTTGTGTATCACGATTCCTGTGTTCTGGTTGGGATCACTCCGACCTTGGGCTGTCACAGTAACGATGCTGTTCTTGGGCTTCCTAGCAAACATGTTACAGTTCTGGAAGACAACAGCTGCATTCCCAAATATGAAATCAACGGTACCATATATATCGCATTCTCTGTAAAATTGTCTGTTAGAGTGGACATAGAGAGTGTCTTGATATCCTTCGAAACCGCATCGGTAGAAAACGGAGAGATCAGACCCCGAGCGGAGCGCCACCGCTTGGCCGTTTGCTGGTCCAGCACTGTTCCGGAATGTGATGTCACGGGCAATGAATCCATCCCCCAGCACAGCTGAAATTCAAAAAATATAGATATCTTTTAATTTGAAATTTTCATTTCTAATGCAGTTTGAGCTACTGTAGCGTCGGCAATGTGTGGGGTCGAGTTGGTTTGATACTTTGATAAATATCAAACCTAAACCCTCTAAGTATACCTAAATTTGTCAACCCAAACCGAGAAAAAAAAAAAAAAAAACTTATCTCGTTATTTATTACAAGACAGCCAGACATATGTCCATTATATTGTAGAAAGAGGAAAGTCTTGGATTTTAATTTCATCCATGGTTGGGTTCAGTACTGCCCAACTCAGATTTCAGACAAAATGTTACTATAACAAGGTTATGTAGATTGTTGGTTACATGGGTGGATTAGAACAGGTTAATCTTATAGAGATAGAAAAGAATAATACCCAAGTCATCAATGAGAAATTTTATAAGGTTGGTTTTGGCTTTTAAAAGCCTGATGATGAATTGATGAGGGGCCAAACATCATTAAAAATTGTTTTTTTTTGTGTGAAAGGATATGAAAGCAGCTGGCAGTCGTTTTAGCATTTTAGAGGAATCTCAACAACTTTGAGGTATCACGTTAATGCTATCATAGCATTCCCGAAAAGGCAGAAGCCCATCTTCAGCTTTACTGGAAAAAAGAAACTCCTTTGTCGATATCTGGATCGATAAGCCTTACCCGGTATTCATTATCAGAATGTCCGATAACAAACCAGCTTCTCAAACATGAAAAATGGTAAAGACCCATCGAAGAAGCGCACCTTAAGCCCCGAACGCAGCCTAAAAATGTCTTAAAGGCCGCTCAATAAGGACCCTTTGTCTATTGCTCCAAATGACAAACGTCCTTAATTGATGATCGTGTCAATAAGAACAAAGATCACTGAGTTACTTAGGTATATAATATAATAACTTCACCAAGAAGCGACCTATATATATGTTGAAGCTTTCAGTCTAAGCAATGCAATATTGATGGGTAAAGTAAACTAAACATACAACCACAGAGAGAGAGAGAGAGAGAGAGAGAGTTTTGTGAAGCTTACCAACGGTAGCAGAGTTGAAGGTGGTGGAGCCTCCTCCGACGCTCTTGCTTCCGGTGATTACAGTCTTTCCTATGCCATCGCCAATAAGCATAATATTGTTGAGCTTGTTTCCTATCTGCAGGTTCTCCTTGTAGGTCCCCGCCTTGACATAAATCACAAATCTGCCGCTCCTCTTTTGCTTTGACGCAGCACTAATTGCCTCGTTAACTGTCTTAAAGTTGCCCGACCCATCTTGCGCCACCACAAGGTTTGCCTGCGACGTCGGAGAAGACGTCTGCAAGAGCTTTCGGTCCCCGGGTTTCACCCAGCTAGGGAACCCTTCTGTATATGCTTGTGGACTAGGTGGAGGTTTGTTAATTGCAAGGCTATTGCTAATTAACTTGGATACATTGTTGGACATAAGAGGCAAGACGTAGTCTGTGACACCAAGCTCCATGAAACCATTGCGGCACGTCTCAAGGTTGGTGAGGGCGGTGCTAAGCCATGTTTGGAAATCAACATCAGTGCAACTGGCACTGGGGTTGACAGTGCGGTTCAGTCGAATGATGGTGTTCTCGTAGAGCTCAAGACAATCGACCCATGCGGCCTTCTCCTGGTGATTCCGGCACTTGGGCCCAAGCATCATATTGTTGTTTTCTGCCCGAAGGGCTCGATCCAAAGCAATCTGCATTGACAATCTATTGAAGTCGGAATGACGTTTTAGTCCGGAAGAACGAGGGTTGTGACTCATATAGAAATCACAAGGTTGGGGGTAAGGTGTTTGGCTGCACCACAACTTTACGTTGGGGGGAATGTGATCAGAGTATCCTGGAGACAAAAGGAAGGAAATAAATACAAGTGTTAGAATAAGAGGGAGCGCCATGGCCGGAAACTCTTCTCTTCTCTGTTTTGGGTGGATACTGAATGTGGGGTGTGTCAGTGTGAGGATCAGCTAGGCTTTTGGCTGGGTTAATTTACATGGAGACTCGATGGACTCTTTTTATAGAGAAGAGAAGATACCAAATAGTAATAGTACAGATGAACAAGCCGAGAGCCGACACTTTCCTTTTCTTTCTTTCTTAATTTCCGTTTTTTTATTTTTAACTAGAGTCTAGAGCACAAAGAATGGGATGTTAGAGTAAGGAATAACAATAGAAAATATGGAATGATGAAGCAAAGAGTATAAATATGTGGGAGCTTAGACATATATAATTTTGTTAAAGCGAGTTTCCATTCCATTATTTGACTTTTCTTATTTGTTGACTTGGACAGAGGTGAACCAACGTCCCTGCCCTTTTATCCTTACTATGAGCCCCCAAATAATAACTCCCCAAGATAGTTATCAAGTGTATATGTCCCACCTCCACTAATCTCTCACGCCATGCATGTGCATGGCTGACGTGTAGTGTTCATATTGGTTAACCAGCCCCTGTATAACACAATAAACCACCCACATCCACTCTCCCATTTTATTATTTCATATCACCATTGACCAACTTGTCACAGTTGATGATTTCTATATCCAGTGATTATTATATATAATAGGCTCATTTATTAGGGCATTCCTAGTCCTCATATATATCGAAATTGAAACATTTGTATGGTTTGCAACCGCTTTACTTAATCAACCTTCCATCAAAAGAGTTTTAAACAATTTCTAACGGACAGGGCATAAAATCGATCAAGTAAAGCAGTTGCAAGTCATGGGCATGGTCGGACCAAGGTTTTTAAAACTAACCCGGAGAAGGAATTAGTCGGCCCATTTTGATAAAAAATAAAAAACAATCCAAACTATTCAAACGGTTTACTAACTAAAATCAATAATTTACCGACTACAATCAACGCTTTTTGACAAAAAATCAATTTTAAGACCAATTTTCGGTTTTTCCAATCCAATCCAGTTCTGAAAACCATGGGTCGCACCAACGCCCATCTGTTTAACGAGGACTCCAAACTGTAAAAATTTTAATTAACAAGAATGGCAAGTAGTTTAGAGAAAATAAAAAGTATAACCTCCCTATATATCGGTCAACATCAGGTTGTTGACGTGATATTTAATCAAAGAGCAATAGACCATTAACACTTACATGTGAGTCTGTGACCCACCGATTTTGACAACAAGCACCACTTGTATAATTGATATCCCCCCCCCCCTCATGTAGTTCGCCCCAAAAATCCAAAGCATGGTACATAATATCCTATCTGCTGATACTCTTCATTGCGTAGCTTCTACGCTACACGCCTAATAAGTTTTATTTGGCGTGGTTTCAGATAAATAATTTGCTAAATTTTGTAATTTAGGATTGGATTTATGAAATTTGTTAGAATTAATTATTCTATTTGGGGTTAGAGTAATATCGAACTTAAAAATATCAATTTTTCAAAAAGTAGAATTTTAAACAACGTTTTTAGTTGATAATACGCTCTTTTCGGTTTAATTGTTCTCATATATAATTCGAGCCGATAATTCACACTCAACTCTGTAATTGTTGTAAATACCTGGACCAGACCAGATCACAGTTTGAACGGACTAGTTCGATCCACATGATAATTGGTCCGTCCGTCATGGTCCCTCCCAGCAAGGGCTTGAAAGGACCAGTTCACACGTGTGTGAATATGAATGAACATTGTAAAATGATGATATTCTATATATTTGCACTGGTTAGGCCACAATTATTAAATCCAAAATATTTTGATAGTTTCATATAATATCAACATATATTTAAAATATATGATAATTTTTCAAATATTCTAACATATTAACACATTAGAAGTAGGAAGTAGTTGCTTAAAAAAGAATCAACACATGTGCTTTTAGAAGTATGGAAAAAATTAAAAATCAAATCCCATAACGTCAAATCCAAATCAGCAGCCCTATGTATATATATATATATATATATAACAAGAAGATCCACATCATCATGCCTCTCCTTGCTCCAATCCCCCTTTATAATTTTCTATTTTTTGAATTTTTTAATTCCACATAATTACCAATTAAACCAATAAAGAAATAACATAGGCTTAATTATTTTTTAATATTTAGTAAATTGGCATCACTTTCCCCCACTTTCTCCTAAAGTGTCTCTATTTTTTATTTATCTCCAAAATTATCTCTAACTCCTATTTATCTCTTAAATTATCTCTAATTTAGTAGAAAGATTCCCTCCTAAACTATCTCTAATTCCTATTTATCCTCTCCCCCACTTTTTATCTACATCTATCTAAAGAAAGTTTTAATTAAAAAAATTCATAATTATTTAAATATTATAACAAAATTATATACTAACATTAAAATATTTATTCAAAACACAAAAATTAATTATAATAGATTTAATAATATTCATATTATTAATAGTTTTATATTTTTGCAAAATTCATCATGAAATTTTGTAGTAACAATATAAATTATAACTTTACAAATTATTCAATAATAAAATTTTAACATTAAAAGCAAAATCTATTTAAATATTTTAATAACTAAATATATTAAATAACAAAAAATTTAAAAAATTTAAATAATTATATAAAAAATATATTTAATGTTACATCATAACATTACAATAAATAAAATTCGAATAATGAAAATTTTTAAATATTTTACATATTATTTAAATATTTAAATAATGAAATATTTAACATGACTAAGTTTTAAATAATTAAAATAACGGAATTATGTAATGAATTTTAAAAACAATCTTAAAACTATAAAATAATCATAATAGATTTCATAATATTAATATTAATAATAATTTAATATTCTACAAAATTAATGATGAATTATATGTAATAATAGTATTAATTAAAATTTTATAGGTTATTAATATTTTCAAAATTTAAATAACAATATTATTTAAATATCTAAATAATATTGTAAATAACTAATTTCACCTTATATCAATTAATAATTATAGAAAATAACTTTCAAAAAAATAATATTTATTAGTAATAATTGTACATTAATAGTGTATATTCATTATATATATATATATATACTAAAATTAATTGTTATTATATTTTTATTTAATATTTATTGTATTTTTTGATAAATATGTTTTCAATAATTATTCGCAAATCTGTTTTTGTTTTGTTATTTAATAGTAAATTGCCAATAATTATAGGAGATTAAACAACTATAATTTAACTTTTGAAATTTAATTTATCATATTTTTTATATTTTTTATAAATTTATTTTTAGTAATTATGCATTTTTTATAATTTATTGATTAATATTTATTAGAGATTAAATTATTATTTGAGACTACACTATTTATTGACTAATTTAATATATTTTCAGTATTTATTGTATTTTTGTAATTATTATATTTTTATTAGATATCTATTGTATTTTCATTATAAATTTATTTTCAATAATTGTGTATTTTTGCTACAAATTTTCTATAATTATTGGAGACTAAACTATTGTTATTTATTAGATATTAGACTATTAATTTATCTGAAATTAGGAGTATTCAAGGATTGGTTTGATTCGGTTGTAGGTTGTTTCGCCAACCAAATCGACCTGGTTAGGTCGGGAGTTTGTCACTAGAAACTGATTGACCATTAAACCCACCAACTTGGGTTGTATCAATTTGGGTCTATTTTTACTTAGTTTGTATGTTCAAAAGATTAAAACTTAAAATTTAAATTCAAGTTTAATAAATTACAGTGTTATTATTAAAAATTAAATTTAAAAAATTAAATTTATGATATTAAACATTTTAGACTAAGAAATATTGGAATTTTTCCACTTTCTCGTATTAAAAAAATTTATATTTAAAATACAAAATATTAATATTTAACTATGGTCAAGTCGGTTCAGTTGTAGTCAGTTTACAAATGACCAAATCAAAACTAACCTAACTTGGTCAATTGAAAAATTGCAAAACCAAAACCGATCAGAAATACTAAAATACTGACCAACTCAAATTGAATTTGATTAAATTAGTTATTAAAAATTAAAATATAAAATAATTATACACTCCTATATATTTCTATTGTTTAATTTTCGCTTAACAAAATCCATACATTACACGAGTCCCCACTGGTTGATATATAAGGCTCGTGTATATAATGTATACAGAACACTCGTGTAATTCATCTGTGATTGATTGTGTAATCCGTTTTACACGCCAATGTTCACAGAGAAAATTCAGAATCTTTATCATTTTGTCGTTGTTTTATTCAGCATTGCATGCCGATGGTTCCATCCATCACAACGTGTTGTTTGGGCTTCAAAGTGAAAAAAAAGAAAAAAGAATGCTAAATTGTGATCCACATTGCATTGCAAACCGAGTATATAAGTAAGGACCCTCCCCAAAATTGAAAAGGACATTACAAAGTGCAAACCAGGTGGCTGTGGTCATGGGTGCAGAGAAAAAAAGGAGAAAGATGGTAAAAATTGAGAAGGACGTTGCAAAGTGCAAACCAGATGACTGTGGGTGGTCATTGGTCATGGGTCCGTATGGGAAAATAAATAATAATACAAATCAATTAATTGCTCGTTGACATCTCCATTTGGATATATGGCTAATGAGTCGGGATATGAATTCTATAATTAAGTCCCCCCTCCGGAACCAATTAATATCTAATGGACATAGCATGCAAACAACCGTGCCCATTTGATTGATTCAACGCAGTCCACAAACTACAGTTTCAGCAGTATTGGACCAGCTTTGGAACAAAAACCGAAACGCCGAATCAAACTGTTGACCTCTGAATTGGATCATTACGTGCGGACTTGTTTACGCTAATTGGTATTTAAAAAGTGAGTTGGTTTGGTGTTGGGCCCTTGGAATTTAAAAAACTCAATCGAAACGCAATAAAGGATTGATTTTCTCGGTTCAACATCAATTAATTAATAAAGCTGTATATATATTAATGACTTAAGAGGATAGCTAGCGTAGAAGTACTTGTGAGTAGAAAGCTTCCCTGCATGTGCTTGCTGACTACAACTGTAATTCTCTTTACAGTTCTCGCATGTAGAAAAAAAAAAAAAAAA